CAGTGCAGTCTTTTATTAATCTAATTGTCTCTTATGTCTTTTTTATATTTTTGTTTGTTCCATTTGTCGGCCACCCTTTATTTTATGTTTACATGGTATTCTTTAGTTTTGTTTTGTTTTGTCTTTGATACCAGGGGGCGGGCATGTTGCCGACAGATACGGAACTTTTTACACTTTTTTATTCTTAATTGTTATTTTTGAATTTAGAACTGTATATGTTTTTTCTTCCTTTTTCTTTATTTTTAAAACCATCAGTTGTTGTAAATATATTCTTGTAACAGTGCGTGCTTTTCTCCTTTCTCTAATAATTCTATTTAATATTTTCATTTTATCTTTTTATTATATAACATAATATTCCAAAATTCATCTTAATCCTAACGCTCTTCCATTCTTCTTTATAAAGACGACCGAATATGTAAGGATGGAAGAGCGTTAGGATTAAGATGAATTTTGGAATATTATGTTATATAATAAAAAGATAAAATGAAAATATTAAATAGAATTATTAGAGAAAGGAGAAAAGCACGCACTGTTACAAGAATATATTTACAACAACTGATGGTTTTAAAAATAAAGAAAAAGGAAGAAAAAACATATACAGTTCTAAATTCAAAAATAACAATTAAGAATAAAAAAGTGTAAAAAGTTCCGTATCTGTCGGCAACACTATTGTTTTACGCGCAGTCCCATGGCAGAGCTTTTGACGGTTTCAATGAAAATGAATATCCAAAAATTTGAAATAAATATAACGCGAAAGTGAATAGAAGTTTAGAAGACAGACTTCATAATCCAGATACAGTAACCGAAACCGTGCATTTATGTATAGACTAGCTGTCGCACACGACTCTGTCCGTGCAGAATTAGAAACAAACTTAATAAGTAGCCAATGTGTTCTGCCAGGCAATGTCAACATCTATACTAAATTTCAGCAAAATCCATGAAGCCGTTCCGGAGATATCTTCAAATAAACATCCATCCATCCATATAAACATTTGCATTTATAACATTAGTAAGAAGTTAGAAGTAAGAAATAAGATTAGCAAGATGTATGAATGTGAAGCACGCGAGAAGGATGTGTCAGGGGCGCTAAATGTAGTGGTCGCTTAATATCAGTCGAAAAATTAAATTTGAAACACAAATCTTTATTATCATGTCGTAAACAATGTTGCGTCAATTATCATTCATTATAATTTAGTAAGTAAGAAACACTTTTTAAACAAACTATACTTTTATTATAAGTGTTCATAAATTTCTGATATAAAGGGGAAAACCATAAGCGTGTCTCGTGTAGTTTTTATAACAGATTTATGTTAAGTTATATATGTTTTCATAACTTAATTAATATTATTGTTTCTTACAACTATAATAGTAATAAAAATAGATATATTAAAATGCGTACAGTAGATACAATAAAATTAAAACAAAAAATAATTTCTAAGCACAAATCTTACTACTAGGTTTGTAAATTTGAAAGTCATATTTATGCCTGTTTGGAGTTTCTAAAGTTTTATATTATACTAGCTGTTGACCGCGACTCCTTCCGCGCGTAATTAAATATAAACTTTATAAGTAACTTAGGTGTTCTTCCAGAATATGTTTAATGCCGAATTTCATTGAGATCCGTTCAGCCGTTCTGTGATACCTTCATACAAACATCCATCCATTTAAACGTATTTTTAGTATTAGTAAGATCTTTAGTTAACCAGGTTCAGCGGAATAGTCATCTAGCTTCTACTAGTCTTAATGTGAAACTTAGTCGTAAATTTAAAATGACATCATCACAGCTTGGCGTGACAGAACAGAGAAATGAATTGCACGCTACAAGTTTTTAGAAAAACTCACTTCTCTAGTATTAATTAGTAAAGACAATAAAACTTGGTGAATAATCAGGTTATCGCGTGCGCTTAGTTTACGATCGAAAATAGTGGATTAGGCACGGTTTCCATACGAATCTTTATAGACACCGCTCACTCGGGCCGGTTTGTTTGATGTGTTTTTTTTTATCAATTCACGTCCGTTTTGTACACGAACTTGATCTTTCCAAATTATTACGTTATTCGATAGTTATATTTTCAATGTATAATAATCAAGAACGAACGCAAGTGACGACGAAATCAATCTTACTAATTTCATAAATGCGAATAGATGGATTTATGTTTGTTAGAAGGTATCTCCAGAACGGCGGCATGGATCTTGCTGAAATCTAGTCTGGAAGAATATATAACATAACAAGGTTTTTGTTTTAAATTCTAGCAACCATCCATCAATCTATCCATTCATCTAAATCTTTATCTTACTAATATTATAACTGCGAATGTTTGTATGGATGGATTGATGTTTGTTTGAAAATATCTACGGAACAATTCAACGGATCTTGCTGAAATTTGGCATAGATATACAACATAATCTAGAAGAATACATAGGCTACTAATAAAGATTTTTTTTTAATCTACGAGGACGCAATCGCATGCTATAGCTAGTATGTTATAAAATTAAAGTAAATTATTTTGTAAGCGTATTTCATGAAATAAAATTTTATATTATAACTAAAGAGAACCATCCCACATTATGATACGAGTATGTTTTGATCTGAAGTGGATTGCGAAGT